CTAACACATGAATTTATACCGACAGCAGTTTATTACAAAGAAGAAAGTGTAGTCAGTCTCAACGTTGTACAATATCACTTCTAAAATCTTAATTAATAAATTTTACCTTCAAGATATAAGCATATCTTGATTTTTCAGGTTTATCACTTTAGAGCAACTTTTTTTGATTGACCCCTAAGCATTTGTTTAAAGTATCCTATATCCTACTTTTCTTTAACCAATCTATTATTTCTTTCGTGTTAGTTTCATTAACAGTATTGGTTAAAAGGTTAAATATATTTATTTAGTATGAGGCTTATTTTGCATTGTCAGGTTATTATATGGATTTAGAACTAACCTAATTTTTTTTAAGCTGTCAACCTCGTGATGTATTATTGGGATTACGGCCGAAAATGTTGATTACAGCGAGGGTATCCAACTGAAGAGTCAATGCATTCTGATCATTATAAGTTTTTATTTTATGACTGCATACTCCTATTGTTTAAATTAGCTATATTTATTTTTAGTTCTCTATGCTTTGATGTTTTAGTAGAAGATGTCACAAAAACACCTGTTCTGAAAACATTGCAAGATCTTTTTCCAAATTGTTGTGTAACACTGTCTGTATCTTGAGTGAGTCCTGCATATTAAAGGAATACAGCAAACATCACCCACCCACCCCCCAGTGGCACAGCGGTATGTCTGCGAACTTATAACGCTAGAAACCGGGTTTCGATACCCGTGGTGGGCAGAGCACAGATAGCCCATAGTGTAGTTTTGTACTGAAGCACGTTATGCTAATACAACGATAAATTGATGTTTCGACAGAACATTGGGCTGTCTTTCTCAGTGTGTTACGTTGAAACATGTTGTATGTTCTCTACATGTAAAAAAAAAATAATTTGCTTATTAATGGATGTTGATCAATTTACTATTTTTCTTGTATATCTACAACGTTTTTTTTCTTCGTTCAATGAACTTATCGTTCACCCTAACTGGGAGCTTGATCTATTAACCACTTATGTCGTATAATAATCTGAGCAACAACAAAAAAAAAAAAAACGTTTTACTTCGTTGAATTTAATCAGAATTATAACTAGGCCTATACTTAAACGAACCAGTGTGCGTGATATTTATTATTTTGAGCAGATAATATGGCGCATTTTCACCATCAATTGGTACTTATCATGAGGAGTTGACGATCTGGTTTAATAAGTCTTAACAAGTGACCAAAATATTATTTGCAAAATTGACTTGTCTAGCAAAACAGTACTAAAAAAAATCATTAGTTGAAGTGAAACAGTTATATACGGGTTAGTTAAAAGATATGCCATTTTATAGAAAATTGTGAGAAGGGATCATTTTCAACGGGATCTCTATAGATCGGAGTTATCTGTTGTTGTTGTTTTTTTAACTTAAGTCAGCGTCGATAGCATTGCGAATTGAAATTTAACTAACGTAGTCAATTACACCACTCCCCTACGTACCCATCTCAAATAGTCGCTTCAAAACGATAATTATCTTTCAAAATTGAAAATCTCCCTTACCCCTTCACAGGAATCCAATACTTTTTTTTTTCTTCTAGAGAGCACTGACTGTTAGGTAGAAAACTATACAACATCGCTAATTGCACTGAACTATTAATACGAGTGAAATATAAGGATGCATAAGCATTTGAAATAGGTAGGATCCTAAGCCTACTTTGACACTTTAATATTGATAACCATGTTGGAGATCTGTGTCGAGGAAACCGTTGTTTTTAAGACAATTGAAAAAATTGTAGGTTAAGTTAATGTGTTAGTCTTTGTAATAAACTGCTGTCGGTATAAGTTCATGTGTTAGTCTTTGTAATAAACTGCTGTCGATATAAGTTCATGTGTTAGACTGTACACAGTCAAGCGTTTAGATTAACTACACTTTTACTGTACACAGTCAAGCGTTTAGATTAAGTACACTTTTACTGTACACAGTCGCGTTTAGAGTTACTACAATTTTACTGTACACAGTCGTGTTTAGAGTAACTACACTTTTACTGTACACAGTCGCGTTTAGACTAACTACACTTTTACTGTACACAGTCGTGTTTAGGCTAACTACATGTTTACTGTACACAGTCGCGTTTAAGTTAACTACACTTTTACTGTACACAGTCGCGTTTAGAGTTACTACACTTTTACTGTACACAGTCGCGTTTAGAGTTACTACACTTTTACTGTACACAGTCGCGTTT